CCATCGCTTCCACTGTCCCCTACTTTTTAAGCCTTCCTTGTCATCTTCAGAGGACACCTTCAAAGTCTTAGTTTTGTATCATTTAATTTCCTTCTCTTCTTCTCTTTTCTGGCTGTCACTGTCTCACGCCGTCTGTCTTCCTTGCCGCCCTCCCCCTGCCTAGAGCACTTGCCTTGAGAACTCTCACTCACTTTGTGTCCCCGTGGGAGGAGAAGAGCCACTCACGTGTATGGTGCGTGTACACTTGAAGACCCTTTGTTCATGGCTGTTGACTTCCCACGTCACCATGCTGGCATTTTCTTCATCATCCGAGGGACTTTGGTCAGAAATACGAAGTTTGTTTTCATACCTCTTTATGGAATCCTAGCTGAGGGCACCCTGCATTTTGAGATTCAAATAATATTGCCCTTTATCACCCCTAATCCTACCTACTCCAGTAGGGAACTCCGTGTCACTCACAGCATCTGGAGATTCTAAGGAGCCGTGTTCCTCTCGTCCTTCCATCTTCGGTCTCTGTCGTGCCTTTTCCATGTGGTGTAGTTGCTGATGCTTCTCTTCCGCAAATACCATCAACGCAAGGTTGAAGAGAGTTTTACTCGGCTATGGTTTTAGCCATAAAACTCATGCTACTGGAACATTTTTCAGACTTTTGCTTTCTATAGGAGCTTAACATCTTGTCATGACCCTAAGCCAGAAGGGAGAACCCGTTTTCTCCTTAATTGATTTGCCTTATTCCCTGATTCTTCCAAATGACTGTTTTTTACTCAGAAAATTATAGGTATTTTTATTTTTTATTTATTCCTGCCCCAGCCCATTGTCTCTAAAGTTCATAAAGAAAAACACTTTAAAGTTCATAAAGAAAAAATATAAGATTCTAAATCATTTTTTTTTCCTGATGAGGAGTGTGCCTGACATCACTTCATTTAGTTTATTTTGTTCAGATTATATTTTTATGTTTTTCCAGTTCTACGGAAATCTTTATGATACTGCTACTCACGTTAACAGGGACAAAAGCCATGTGGGATTTAGTGGAAGTGTTAATTATAAAAGTATATGTGGACAAAAATACCTATCCCCGTGGTACTCTAAACTCAGTTTTTCTGTCTTTAGCCCTTTGCACATATATTTCCAACCCTTCTCCAAGGGAAGGGAGGAGAGGGATCACGTTTCTTCCGTGGTGAATGTGACATCCATGCTTTTGATGGACTATTTTCAGTTATCCTTGGTAGAAACTCATCTTCTCTGTACTTTTCTCCACTTTCTTTCGATGTCTTTTGCTCTTCAGAGCCTTATGCCACCAACCTATCTAGCCTTAACTCTTGAAATGTACATTTTTCTTGTTCCTGATCCTGCTGAGTTCTTACTTATAATATCTTAAATGAAATATATGTACATAAAAGTATAACAAATAGTAAGGCACTCATATAACAATTATAATGTGGACAAAGTCAACAATTTGCCTTATTTTTATCTGGTCTTCTTTGTGTTGAAGATAGCCCTTTGCATTCTATTTTATTCCCCTTTATCAGTCCCAGAAGTAGCCAGTATCCTGAGGTTGATACTCATTTTTGCTCTGTGTGATTCTATGATTCGACCACATGGATGTGTAGCCTCCCCAGCACCAAGGGTTATTTGTGCACTTGGAGTTCCTTTCTCTTGACTCTGACCTCCTTGTGCAATATCCATCTTTTCTAAGGAACCTTATTTCTCACTCCTCCGGCCCTTTCATGGACAAGAAAGCAAGGAAAAGCTGAAGGCACCCTGTCCTTTCCTGCTTTCTTCTTCCTCCTCACTCCTTTCCTTCAGTTACTTTATACCTTCTTCTTATGTGCCCTGCACCATCAGACTCTTACAGCCTCTTTTTCTCCCTTTGTTCTTTGTGCCCCAGCATTTAATATCTCTGGCTTCTATTTTTGCTCTTGAAGATTAACAAGCTTAGTTTTTCTCTGCCCTAATTTGGGAATAGGTAAGATAATGTTACAGAGAACCTGAGAGAGAAATGCAGTTTAATTACTTTCCAGTATAGAAACACTCCTGAGAGAAGGAGGGATGGAGCTGTACGTCTTGGAGGCTCTGACCCTTCATTACATCAGAAATGAATTACTTATAATTAACATGTTTGTCATTTAAATGTAGAGCTAAAGGCATTTGCCATTAGGTTCATAGTAATCTTTTACAAAATTGACTTAAAATTCTATTTATCATTTTTCCTATTGGTAATGTCTCATTTTATGGTCTACCTACAAAAGAGATTTTTATATTTCTTTTCCAAGTATTCATAGCAAAGTTTACTGCAAACAAAACTTTTCTTTCTTTCACTGAGAATATATTATTTGCCTACTATGTGCAAGCACATTATACATGGAGATGGATTGAGATGATACCTTTTTGGGCAGATGATTATACCAGATATTCAGGCTTCAAGGAGTTTACACTTTTAGGTGGGAAGACGGATATTTATTCACATACCACTAAGGCAACACCAAGGGTGGGAGAAGAAGGTAGAGGAGAGACAGTAGTGCCAAGCTTCATGGCCTGTATAGGAAACTGTTTTTTGGGAATCTGACAAACCAGCAAAATCCTTGATTGTTCAGTGTTTGAAGGAATGAGAGTTTAGGGATGAACTCTGTCTAGTCTGGCCATCACAGATCTTATTCTATCATAGATAACAATTACCGTTCTGTTTCCAGTAGATGTTTCCATGTCACACATTCTATTAGCCCTTCCTGACCTTCCAAATCCAAATAAAGCCCAAAGGATCTAAGAGTAAGAATGGGAAGGAATCACCTAAAATCTTTATCAGCTGTGGTCAGAGTGTATCTTTGGCCTAAATACACTCTTATAGGGCACATGCTAAGACTATTCATGGTTTCCTTTCCCAGTCTATGTTCTGGAATATAATTTAGGCCCTTTACCAGTTTCTTTCCATCGGCAAGACCCCATATTTGTTCCTTGGCATGGAACCCAGAATTCTGTACCCATGCCCCCTGCTGTCTTCCTCTGATGATTCAGAGTTACAAATTATGACACATGAATGAAATGCCTACTATGTGTTCACAGAAGAGATGTCAGTATAATTAAAGATGGAATTTTTGTGGCATCTTTTCAAATCTGATATTTTCCATTTTATCAAGATATTTCTTGGCTCATTTTCTTTCCTTATCATTTACTATTTAGGTACACAAATGACATTTTTCTGTTATATTGTACTGGTAAATACTAGGAATTCACATTTTTCTAGAAAATGAGCCTCTTAGAGCCCAGAACATTAAGACCTACATTTATAAATTAAGGCTTATTTATTTATTTTCCTTTTAAAAAAACGTACACTTTAAGTTTTATTTAAAAAACAAAATAACCAACCAACTAAACAAAAAAGGCTTCTTCAGAGTAGCCCCTGGAAGATCCCGAGAAGCCTAATAAGAATACTGGGGACCCGTCTGTTGAAATGGCTTTAGATTGAAGATTTTAGCTGGAAATGAATTTAAAATTGTTCTAAGAATGAAGCTTTCTACGTTTGAGTAAATGTTAACAGTTTGGAGATCTGCAGAGAGACATCTGCCATCCTTGAAATTTTCCAAAGTGACATATGTATTTTATGCTTCAGAAACTAGAAATGGAGGCAATAAGATCAAACCCAGAGATTCTTTCCAAAAGCCACTAGTGTTTAGGAAAGTTTGGTATTGCCTGTGGCACAGCCTGATAACTGTGATATTTGCTATATGTAATTTCCTCGTTGAGTAAAAACAAACAAACAGAAACCATGTAAATGCATGAGAGTCAGTGGAGTGTGATAAAAAAAAAAAAATTCTCAAGAATCAGGAGATAACAAGGTTTATCCACAACTGCCCACAAACTTTGGTTGATAATGACTTTTTGGTCCCTTTTCTTTTTCTGTTTTTCTTCCTTTCTTTCTTTCTTTTTTTTTTTTTTTAAGATTTTTATTTATTTATTTGACAGAGAGATAGAGAGAGAGAGAGATCACAGAGGGAGAGGGAGAAGCCTCCACACCAAGCAGGGAGCCTGATGCGGGGCTCCAACCCAGGACCCTAAGATCATGACCTGAACCAAAGGCAGATGCTTAACCAACAGAGCCACCCAGGCGTCCCAACTTTTTGTCCCTTTTCTGTCTGATAGCTTCTACCTCAAAACTGGGGTTTATTGCTCTTCTTAGTTCCACTGATTTCTACTGATGTAGTGTCAGTGACGCCTCTGATATGGGCTTCACACTGTCCTGGCTGCGAGATTACACATCTCGTCTTGTTTCATCATCAGCTGACCAAGAGACCGCAGTTCCCCACTTGAGTCATCTCCTGCAGAGCTCTAGCTCCTGCTCCACTGGGATGAGTTGGTGGTGCCCAGGGCCATCCTGCAGATCGGGGTCCACTCCAGATGGGGGAAATGATAAGAAGTGGGTCGCATTCTAAAACTTTGATGGGGCTGCTGGTTTTATATTCAGTTATTCCTTTCCTCCTTTTATTAAAACGTGTTATCTGGTTGATGAAATAATGGTGACCATAGAAAGCTTTGTCATGGGTCCTGCTTATCAGAGTAAAACAGTTCCAGGTCTTTGTTGGCTCTCTTCCCCCTTTAGATGTTTGTACCTCTAAAAACCTTGCAACACTTGGTTTAAAAATACTGTCCCAAACAAACCACCTAGGTATGTACTTATGCCAGTTTGAAGAGCCATGCTACGAAAATAGGAAGGGGGAGACAATACTTGGTAGACATTTACTAGATACTTAGCAATTATTTCAAGTTTATACTTGATGCCGATGCAAACTTGTATGCTGCAGCTTCCCTCTGATTGCCCTCTTCACTGGGTTTTTACCTGTGAATATCTAATACAACTCTCGGCAAGAAATATTTTTCAGGGAATGTTATTCCCCGAAAAGATATCCCTTCACCTTTGCCTGAAAGCCTGGTTCAGGAATCACTTTGATTTGTCATGTGTTGGTCCTTTTCAGCGCTGATAGTGCTTTGCTTTACTTTTTCCTCAGTGATACGAATGAAGTTGACATCCCACCCAACACCCGAGTTGGCACCAAACGCTACATGCCTCCCGAAGTGTTGGATGAGAGCTTAAATAGAAATCACTTTCAATCTTACATTATGGCCGACATGTACAGTTTTGGACTCATTCTTTGGGAGGTTGCTAGGAGATGTGTATCAGGAGGTAAGTAACAGTGATGCCATTGCACCTGCTAGAGATCCTTGCTTTCTGATCAGAAATCAGAGTTATCATATTGTCCCCAAATCTGATTTTCTTTTATTTTCCACCTTATTTCTGTCAGTGCAGTCACAATCCTCCCAGGAAATGATATTTAACCTCTTAGAATTCTATGTGACCCCCTCTTTCCTGCTTCTCACCAACAAGCCAGCCTTAGAAAAAAAGTTAGGATTTTAAATGCTTTCCTGCTTCTCACCAACCTGTTGGGGCCCATCCCTAGCTCCAGTGCCCCATCCCCTATGGCTTCCTCTCTGCAGATGAAGGTAGAGACAGAGATGTGGGGTGAGATACCCCTTCTTTACCCCTCCCCCCACTTGACTTTCTATAGTTCTTCTTCATAAAGCAATTTGAAAACATCAGTTTTTATCAAAAGGAAATTAAAGCATAAGGATGTTACTACTGGTCATGATAATTTTTCTGCAAACAAGGATTCCCTAGTAAGATGATATCAGAATATGTTATTAAATATTCGGAGGCATTATTATTGTTTGCTGTATTTAGTTTACTGCTGCATCATCTGCCTTTAAATAGATTCCAACACTTTTTAGGTGAGAAGCTGAATCTTCGGCTCTTCAGTGACAAGTATTCTGTTGACAGTCGTACTCATGGCCGGGCTTGGTTAGAAACCGTGCTGATGCTGCTGCTGCCTCTCATGGCCAGTTTAAACTCACTTTTGTGAGACCTTGAGCTTGCCCGAGGTTCTGAAAGTCTAGTGAACACTTAACTGGTACTGGAATTCACTCTTGGACCTGTCACTGACAAGTGACTCAGCTTTATTTCCGTTCTTTCATCTTAAGAAGGAAGTGAATTAAAAAGAATTAAAACTGCCTGGTACATAAATAGCATTCAGTATATCTTAGCTCTTAATATTTTGCTTTTGGTTGGTAGAGGCTTAACTTATATTTAGATTCATATTTAGGGCCGCCTGGGTGGCTCCGTGAGTTAAGTGCCTGCCTTTGGTTCAGGTCATGATCCCAGGGTTCTGGGATTGATCCCCGCAGAGCAGGGAGCCTGCTTCTCCCTCTCCCATGCCCCCGGCTTGTGTTCCCTCTTTCACTGTGTCTCTGTCAAATAAATAAATAAAATATTAAAAAAAAATAGATTCAGACTTAAATAGAGAGGAGAGACGGTTAATCACCAGGCACTTATACTTTGGGAGACAGATTGTGATGTAGTGACACAATGCCTTCTAATCACTTGGGAGCTCTGAGCCTATTCTGAGCTTAATTTAAAATAGAACACATTTCCTCTCAAGTGAGAGAACTCCAAAATGAAAGTTAACATGGGAAATGTTTTCTAACCAGATAGGGAGTAAATCTCCCGTCTTCTCTGAAGAAGGAAAGAGCTAACGAAAATATAAGTTAACTAATTGTCTATGCCTTGCCTCATGTTTTATAGAGAGTAGATGAGCCTATTTTGGAATAACATACTTACACTCAGGATTGGTTTATAGAAGCTGAAGGAGTAGTAGAGTACAAGATTACTTTCTCATTACACTTTCCTGAACATCTAAAGCAAACAGGGCCACAAGAAACCTGTATCTGGAAGCCTCTGGGTCAGAATACAGAAGAAACGATCCTTTGCTTAAAAACAAGCCAGCCTTAGAAAAAAAGTTTGGATTTTAATTGCTTTACTGGGTTTGTCTTTGCCCATGGAGATTTGAGAGGCACTAAGGTGCTGCCTTATTTCTTTATGAGATTGTTTGTGTTTGTCACAGCTGTTTGATTCTCAGCTCGGCACCATACCAGCTGTGTGGCCTTGGACAATTAGTAAATCCCTCAAAAGCAAGTTTTCTCATCCAGATAATATGGATAATAATGCTATCTCATAAACATGTGTCAAAGAATTTAGTAAGATAAACTATACAGCATACTTGCTGATACATGGTATAGACCATATTTGCCTGGTAGGCTCCTAACAAGCAGGTTTGTCTCCTCTTTCCAGAAAGGCAAAACACACAAAATTCTATTCTCTAACACTTTCCTTTATGAAGATGTTGGAAGTTATGGACTTGTCTTTCTAGTCTAGGTACTTTTGGGTGAAGTAGACTTTGGATGTAGGTCTTCTAAACTTGGGAAGAAAAAGAGAATTCTTGAGGTTTCAGTCACCCTTAAGTGGCAGCCCATATGGAAATTTTGATAATTGCATAAGGAGAAAGAAGTAAGGCCTGTAGTTCAAAGACAGACTTCGATTAATTCATAAATTCATGTGGTTCACTGTGTCTGTGGTGGCATGTACACTTACCCCACTGTGGGGTATCAGTCCAGCTGGGCACTGGCACCAGTGCTAGGCACTGAGGGAGACATGAGAGGAGTCAGATAGATGGTCTTTGCCCTCAAGAGTTTTCCAGAACCATTGTCCTGAGAATTAGAAAGGGAGGAAGAACTCAAGTGAAGTAAGCATCCCCCATTCGTTAGGCCTTGTGCTTTTAGTATTTCCTGTAGAATTGAAACACAAGAGAAGGAACGATGAACATAGTTACGTATAATCATGCTATGTGGTCTCAGTGAGGGACAGAATAAATGGTGGGTGGGAATGGTCTGAGGAAGCGTTTGAACCTTCTGGTCCTTTATTGTATGGGTTTGAGTTTGCAGGAAAGGGCATATACTCCAGATTTTGTCCGAGTACACCCCAGCGAGTTTAATGATGAGTTGGATAAAATCTGCCAGCTTGATAGTATCATCTTGTTCCAATAAAAAGCAATGACATTTCTATAATAGATGATTTAGGATTGGGAGGGAAGGTGCTCCAGATACATTGTTCAGAGGGACATCCTTTAAGGACAGAGGCTGCTTATAATTATTGTGGGGAGTTAATCAGATAGGGTTGAAAAGAAGATAAAAGTAGCCTACTTTTCTAAAGGACACAAGGAATAAGGTAGAAACTAGATACTAGGAAAAATAAGATGAAATTTGTCACGATAAGGGCCATTTTCCTAAGATGACACAGACTTGAATTCCTTAACCCTTCTTTCAACAATACCGATTTTTTCTGATAGCGATGTATTTTTTTTTTTTTGTAGAAAGTTTGGTGAAGTACAGAAAATTTAAAGAAGAAAATAATAAAAATCTGACAATCCTTGCACCTAAAAAAAATCATGGTTAATATTTTTAGGTGTGTATAATTTTTAAAATTTTAAATCTGGAAAAATGCATTCTTATGATTAAGCAGAAAGAAAATGTAAATCTCACATTTTGTTCAAGTCGGATACTCTGCCAAATGTATTATGAGATTCATAATCTCATATTGCAGTAATAGAAACAGTCACATATTATGTGGTATGAGTTTGGGGTGTGTCTGCCAAATTCATGTTGAGATTTAATGTAGATTTTTTTTTAATTTGCATATAGGACCCTTTAAAAAATTGGAAATAAATTTGAGATGCTTGTTTTACTTAGCTTTGGGAAATTTTAAAAAAACACTTGAAAACCTATAGTAATATGTTTCATTAGATTTTCTATTTATATTTTTAATTAGATTAAGTGTCATTCGGGCACATTTTTTTTTTTTCAAGACTTACTTTGCAGTTTTTTGAGCCTGAACGTGTTTTGAGTACTGATAGGACCTTGCTTTGAGAACAGTCTGTATATTAGAATTTCATTTCCACCTCCCAGAAGATATTAATAGTAGCAATAATTTAAAAACAACCCATATTCTAGGTATAGTGGAAGAATACCAGCTTCCGTATCATGATCTTGTGCCCAGCGACCCTTCTTACGAGGACATGCGAGAGATTGTTTGCATCAAAAAGCTCCGTCCCTCATTCCCCAACAGGTGGAGCAGTGATGAGGTAAGGCTTGAGGTAACCGTGTGACCACGACAGACTTCTAAACAGACTTTTTACTCTTTTTGCCAAAATTCCAGATACCTATTACAGGAATCCTCCCCCTTTGTTTTGATGGTGTTGGTAATGGTTCTTCGCCACAGTCATTGGTGTCATATGTTAAATTATCTGTTTCTTTTTGCCAATTTGAGTTTGCTATTTCTAAAGTATATTGCGGGGGCGGGGGTTCCCCTTAGCCTGGACAATAGGTAACACTATTCCATTTACTTATGCTATCTTGACATTTGCATAAAGGACGTTATTTCTCTGTGTGCATCTTTCAAGCACCATGAATTTTCGCCATGACAGACCAGTGTATACCATTCTCTCATCTTGATGAGAGAAAAGATAGGCATCTGCAGAATCTAGTTTTCTTTACACAGAAGGGACACAAGGTGTGGTTGGGCTGCCTGACTGCGCCATTGGTCTTTGTTAGTAGGGCTGATGTTTGCCCTTTGGAGAAGTCCATATTCAGCCTGGCTCTCAGGATGCAGGGATGAAACCTAACCAGGGCCGAAAAGGGGCTGTTCAGAAGGAGGAAATGATTTGGGTGGGCCTTGCCTTTCCTGTCTCATGTCATCCTCGACATCCTGCCCATCTATCCTCCATACTTGCAAACTCACCAACTCTTGGAGCCCTCTGGCAGGCGGACATCTTCAGAGATGAGTTTGAAGCATCCCCAGGATAAAACACAACCCCCACCCCCAAACCCACCTCACCAAACATGTAGCAAAGCCAACACAGGCACATGGAAAGAGCACTTGTTGATAAGCTAATTCTTTAATGTTCAATGCATTTAAAAATAACCTTTGGTTCATTGGTTTGGTGTCTCGTTCCTGAAATGCTAAATAATGCATCATTTTTCCAATGAGCTATGCAGAAAACTTTATGAGATGCTGGAGTTATATTATTTTGAAGGTGGTTATGGGCATTGGTATTACTCAGAATCCCCTTACTATAGATTTCTAATGACGTGAAATTGTGCTTTTCCACAGGAAGACCAGTAATTGATGTAGCACAGGAGAACACAGGAGAAAGTTTTAGTGAGGCTGTGCACAGGTCATTAATCTTGTTAAATGGTACAGTGCAATGCTATTATTGGAGCAGACAGCTGTGATTTAGGAATAACCATGTTTGTTTGAATAGTATGGAATTAGATAAAAGATTTAAGCTTATCAAGTGTTATAAACAATGTAGGAGTGTGGAGTGGAATACAGACTCCCTGGGTATTTTTGTATTTGGTTAAGACCAACTTCAAAGACACTCTTGTACAATTAGCAAAACCACCTGCTTGCTGCGGTCATAGGGAAGACATGAAAATCTGTTTTCATTGTTTAGAATTTGCACGAGAAAAGAGTTTTTATGGAATTTTGTCTACATGGTTTTAGGAGTATCTTTGAAAAATATATTTGTACTCCAGAAACCATACACTAAAGGCCACATGTCCAATGGCATCCTTGTAGATAAAACATTTCTCTAGTGTTACTCCTGTTTTCCTTTCCCTCCCCACAGTGTCTAAGGCAGATGGGAAAACTCATGATGGAATGCTGGGCTCACAATCCTGCATCAAGACTGACAGCCCTACGTGTTAAGAAGACACTAGCCAAAATGTCAGAGTCCCAGGACATTAAACTCTGATGTGAGGAGAAGAAATAAGCGTCTCTGGAGAAAGCCAGGAGATATTCTTCTGTTCGTGGGCAGAGCAGAAGATGTTCCAGAAGTATCCACAGTACAAGCCTTGAACATCATCCTGCTTCCCAGTGGGTTCAGCCTCACCTCTCAGGGAGCAGCCTGGACAAAGAGAAGTTCCCAGAAACACGTTCTCATCGTATCTGTCTGTAGGAGGGAGAAAGTGCTTGGGTAACTCGTTCAAGATACATGATGCATGTTGCTTTCTAAGAAAGCCCCATATTTTGGGATTGCCTTTTTTTTCCCCCCCAAAAGATGCTTTAATTTTGCCAAAATAGAACAAATCATGTAGAAGTTTTAAGGTTTATACTGTTATAGTTTAATAAATAATAGCAACGAAAGTTCTTCCCAGAAATTCTGCTGGAAGGTAAATTTTAAAATACCTTTTTCCATTAGTGAAAATACCTTTTTCCATTAGTGAAATTTGTTGCACTCTGCACACCAAAAGACAGTCTGTGGAGTTGGAGAACGTAGAACGGAACTCATGTGAAAATCTCCCCGATTCTGCCTCCTCAGACTGCTTTGGCCAGCCCTGCCTTCAGCGGCCACCGCAGCAATGTGAATGCACCTGGGCACAAATACCACCTGTGTGGGGCCACGTTTTGGGTTCCTTTGGGTGCCCTTTTGTAGCTTCAGACGACACGGAACAAATGAAGGTTTTCTGTGACTCTGTTAGAAGTAGTTTGTGTTGATGCCGTTCTTCAGAACTACTTTGTGTTTCTGATTCTTTTAAGGCATTTCTGTCATGGTGAAGTCCTTTCCTTTTCATTAAACACAAACAAAGGTGTTTTTTACGTGCAGAGAATTGACTCATGCCTGGTTTTGATCTCTCAAATGAAAGGATCAATATTAAATAAAATTGCAGTCAGCTGGGTTAAAAACAAGGCTCTTTAAAATAGAGATACTTTGCTCCTGTGTTGCAAGAAAGATGTGTCAATAGGGCAGAGGATGAGGGTGGGGGTACAAATGACCTGTTTCTTGGATATGCAGAAGAGCCTGTCTCACAACCACAAGGGGAAAGGACGCCCACCTTATTTTGTATAGACAAGGACAGTTTCTTTTGTGTCTGAGTGAAGGGAAGGAGAGGAAAGCATGTTAGGTTAATTTAACTAAATTTTAATTTAAAAAATATAACCTCCAGATGGGTCAGCAGAAAGAGCTAGTAGAGGCCACAAAATATGGTAGCTGCTGTGACTTGTTTTTCCAAAATAGATACGGATCAAGCACATACATCTTACATGATAAGTTCACATCTTAGAGGAGTGCTGACTCGGTTTATTTTATTCTTGTGATGTTCAGTTCACTTTTTATTTATATATTTTTTCTTCTCTGTGGCGCTTGTGCAAAACATCTCCTCACCTCCTCAATTCTGTGGGGTTTTAAACTTTGGAGGAATGTGAGGCAAATCATTGACAGCGCCAATATTCCTTAGCAACAGGAACATAAAGCTCAGAATTATGAGCACTCCTCTCAACTGTGTTCATTTACGTTTCCTTACTTTTCTTTGGTTTTCTTTTGTTTCTTCGAAAATCCTGCAGGGTTCAGTGAAGAATTGGGAAGTGCTTCTCCTTGGTCTTTTTAAAAAGGACGTTCCTTCCAGCATACTCTAGGGGGCACTGTTTTATAACACATTTTCACCACTTGGTGCCTGAAGGTTGGAGGGTTTTTGAACATTTGACAGGTGCAAGAAAAATGAGAAGATATGCCCCTCACTGCTGAAGGAGGCTTGCAGCTGGTGACTTGTTCATCACGAAAACCTCTTAGAGCGCAGAGTGGTTGTGAGGCCCGCGTAAGTTTGGGGAGAACACAAGGAGAACTAAGCATTCACTTCCCAGTGCCTCGTAGCTGCATTTTGTTTGTAACAAAGAAAGATTTTCTTAACCCTTGAATAGGAACAAAATTTCTGGTTTTTAAAGATCACAAACAGTTGTTTCTAAATATAATTGTAATCAGAATGCTGCTTGTAGTAATATTAAAATCACCTGAATAGCAGTGTAAACAAAGGTTCTTTTCCCTTGCATCAAATTGTATTCTTTGTGATAGCTTAGAAGGAATATGTGTCTAGAACTATGCGTGATAATCATCTGAGCCGTGGAGAGAAGCTTCAGTGCTTCTAATCTGATAATCTACAAACACATGAGTAAACATGGATGCCAGTTAAGTGGGGACGCGTTTGTGTTTCTTGGTTTTCTCCAAATTTAAGCGAGGTTGGGCTTGCTTACATCTTCGATTAAAAATTCTTGTTCTTTTTGGCAAATTTTTATACATAGATAACTTCATATCAAAATATTTTGTGGAGAGGTGATGATTTAAAAGTAAACTAGATTTTTAGAGAGGTGTTAGTTCCAATGAAGAAAGGAAAGAAATCAAAACAGCATCCAGATTTCTTCTAGATTATTTGTTGTTTTGGAAAAATCTATAGCTTACTTTGTAACTCTTAAACTGATTTACTCACTATGAATATTTAAAAATTATTCTCAAGATATTTAAAAAGGTCCCTTTAGTTATTAGAATCTTTCGATGAGATAGGAATTTATTTATGAGTAGATTTTTCTTTGTGTCTCACCCAAATCTGCCTTGCTTAAGGAATACTAAATTGTTCTCACAGAGACTACCTACTCACTTCCAAACAATCCTTTTTGGTTTTTAAATTTTTAGTAGCTTAGAAGTGCATTTTAGTTTTTTGTTTTGTCTTTCAATAGAATAAGGGGGAACCTGGAAATTATTGTAGTCAATTGTTTCCTTTCAGGACTCTTTCAAAGTCTAAAATTTTTCTCCTAATCACTCCCTCCCCTTCAAGGGAATTCTAAAATATTAGTTGTTAGCTAATATAAGTTTTATAGGCTAAGATGTTCAGGTTTATAGTTTATGTATGTGTGTACATATTATATAAATATATATGTATATATAAGTATTATGTTCAGCTTGGAGTCTGGCACAACTCCATTATGTGGATTAGAGAGTAAAATATTATAGATGATAAAGTACTAAATGAAACATAGTATTTATTTATGAAAGTGTGTAGTTGGTCCAGTCACAAGTGACAGTGCTATGAACACTGTGTATGAGGAGACAGGCCCTTGGCTCCTGGACAGCACCACTCCAAAGTCACTCGTGACCATTCTTTTTATTCTTTAAACATAAAGCTTCTTAGAAAACATGTCACGATTTGATTTACAAGGAATCCTTTGACACATTTCAATTGTGTAGTCAGGTATAGGAAATACTGAATAATGACAGAATTTCATGTTCCTCAGAGTCATGCATATTCATGAGAAGTTATGGTGGTTTACACTGTTGGTCTACTCTGGTTCTTTGCTGGTGAGCAGGAAGGCACTGGAAGAAGCCGAAATTTTAAAATTTGAATAGTTCTGCAGTTACATCTCTTTAGAAAACCCAGTCACATAGCAGTGGAAATGAAAGAAGTGCTATCAGAAGTGATTTAATTTAGCAATTATGATTCCTCTTGTAAAACAAAACAAACCACAATGCCATATTTTTTGGAGAGAAGTTGGCACTATATAAAGGGGTTTTGTTGTCTGTCTGTTTCAAAAGAAGATTCCTTTGTGTTCTTTTGGGGAACCAGTGCCTTACTGAATTTGTATATACTGTAATTATTCAGGACTAGGGAACAAACAATTGTATTTGTTACAAATTGTATATGGCTTTGTTTTAACATTCCCCGAAATAAAATGGTTTCTTTCTCCCCTTGGAAAGAACATGTCTGTTATCTTACAGTTGTGCCTTTTTTTCTGTCTCCAAAATCATCGCACGTCGAACAGGCATGTATAAAAGAGAGCCATGCAGGTAAGTTTGTATGTTTGGTGGTGGGAGAGCAAGGCAATGGTCTGATGGCTTCTATTCTTTCTGTAATTAGGAGCCACAGTCATCTGTTGTTAGAGGAAAGGTAGGGTAGTGAGTGGGCTGGGAGAAGTGAAACAGTTTAAAATTGCACTGTGGAAAATGGCAGGTGGGTGGTTATGGGCAGCACTGAGGGTCTGGTTCGCTGAGAAGACCAACTGTGAGAATGGGGATGGGGGGTGGGAGGGTTGCAGTCTGTGAGGGGAGAGAGTAGAGACGGGCCGGTGGGGCCTGATGGGCCGAAGCCCACAGCAGTGGGTGCCACAGAAGGGCAGTGGTCTGGAAGCAGCAAAACAGTAGGAGAAAGTTCCCAACTTTCCTCCCAACTGTGACATCTGTGGGGTATGGAGGACTGAGACCACTGTTGTTGCCCAGCAAACAGTGTCCCCTTGGACAAGAGAAAGCCCTCTGCAAAGGGAGGGGGAAAGTGTTAGGTGATACTAGGTGATGGTTCCTGAATCTTGGAAGGCAGCATAGAAAGTTAAGGTTTGAGGAGCTCTGTGGGAGACGGGATCAGGAGAGATGAAACCCGACTTGTCTGGGCACCAAGGGCATATAGGAAGGCTTGCATCTTGGTTACTGGGACTTGGGAGTTGTCATGAGAATTGGCTGTGTTTAGCCAGTTGCGCTGATGCCAAGAGAATTCATCCCAGCGCTGGGATTCTGATCAACTTGGCTCACGTTCCAGGGTTTTCACTTTCTCACTTCTGTGGAAGTACATAGTCTGGGCACCATTTTCTCCCCTGTACGTGGGCTAGAAATACCCGTCTCAAAGGGCTCTTCGGAGGAACAAATGAGATGAATATGTGAAGGAGGGGAAGGCCCCACTCCAGGTACCTAGCGGGTGCTCGTAAATATTGCTTCTCCTTACTGATATTAGCTCCACAGGAGACAGAGCTGGCGACATTCAAAAGAAGTCGCAGTTCGCCGTGGGCACACTCTTCCAGCCCCTCTGTGTCCTGCCTTCCTGGGCTCACCTTTCCTTTCCTACCCAGTAGTGCAGTTGCTTGTACATGTCATTTAAAATCAGATCTCTCAGGATGGGACCTCGTATTCCTTGGTTCCCCGGGGCCTTCTGATGCTGCGCCTCTAAGACTCTGGGTCTCCCCATTAACTGCTCGTCACTCTCCGCTGGGGCATTAAACGCTCTTAATAACCACACCACCCCCCCGATCTGTAAAGTCAGGATCTCTGGGGTTGGGAGTCAGCTTTTCTAAAGCTTCTCAGGTGATTCCAATGTGCAGAGAGGCTTGAAAAGCCCCGATTCCAGAAACCCATCCTGTCCCCGAGGGAGGCTGCGATTATCATCCTTGCAGAGTCTAAGAGCTTCTCTGTGCTAATGAAGAGACACAGGATGACTCTTCACACACAGGAGTGCTTTGTTATGAAGACACCAAGGAGGGGGTGCCTCAGTGGCTTGGTTGTTTAAGTGCCTGACTCCTTTTTTTTTTTTTAGATTTTATTTATTTGACCGGGGGAGAGAGAGAGAAAGCGCATGCACCCACAAGTAGGTGGAGAGGGAGAGGGAGAAGCAGACTCCCCACTG